TATACAATTTTTTTTTCAGGTAGAACAACAGATGCAGCATCTGGAAAAAAGTGTGGCACACATCGGGGTAGGAACCCCTGGCAGAATTAAAGCTCTGATAGAGAAAGGTAAGATACCTTTTCCTGGTATTCCTTCATGAAGCAAAATACAGCTGCTGTGTGTCGTTTTTAATATGAGTATTCTCATGTAAGGACAGCACAAGGTGCGAGTTTATAGATGCCCAATTAGAAAGCTGAAAAGTGTGGTTCCAATCAGCAGGAGCTATTATGTACTGCCATCTTTTGGTGGAACTGTGTTTGTGCTTCAGTTTTGAAACATTCAGTTTTACCCGCCTCTCTGCAAAAATATGTCCTGCCTTAGGGTAAACGTCAAGGTAGCGCAAAGCTGAAAATCAAAATGTCCTTGAATAAAAAAAGGATGTTTGCCATATATTTCCTGGCAGCTTGCTATAAAGTACACATATAATAAAGAAAACATTCCTGAGTGCCACGTTAACATGAATGAATTTAAACAAACTGTGACATAAGGCCCATCCTGTATGAAGAAATGCCTGGAAAGCAAGGTTACAGCAGAGCTCTGTTAAACAGAAGGAAGTACTAAGGGGCCACTGAGTCTCCCTGAAACTTGTTTTTGAATGTATTACAGATGGCTTGACTCTGAACGCATTGAAGTATGTGGTGTTAGACTGGAACTGGAGGGACCAGAAGCTGAGACGATTGGCTGACATACCCGAGGTATGATTCTGCCTGTCACGATTACAGTTAATGTTTTTACTTCTGTATCTTAAATACAAAAATGTCGCTTTTAAGCGCAGCAGGAGTTTGAGCACCTAATTTTTATAAACCTGCGAGCCAATTAAGCAGAGGGTAAAGAACATTTTTTTTCTTTCCATGTGGAAAGAAAGGGGAAGTAAATATTTGACTGACTGGACTTTGCACATTCATCCTATTGAGGTGTGATTTTTTTATTAAACAAAAGAATATTGGCTTACTGTGAAGACCGCTGGATGCTTACCTTATCTTCAGTAAATAATAACCTGGCTATGAAGGAGAAGGAAATATACCTGGTAAACATTAAGTATGAACTGGTGAGCTTAAAGGGAGTGAGGTAAAATTCCCATAATATTTACTTCGTCTTTATCACATATATTTTTTTACCATTATGACTTAATATACCACCAACTAAAAGATGTAGTCCTGTACATTTTACCTTTAAGTGGTCATTTTGAATGTATTTTTTTTAAATCAGTAAATGTCTAGAAAAAATGTTTACCAAGAATAGCAGTGTTTCTGTAAAACTATATAAAACTGTAAAATGCACTATATCTCCCAAATAAGCCCTCCGGGTAATAAATCTAAATGACTGTGATGCTTAAGAGAAATTTCTTAACAGAAATTTCATTCACGAGTGTTTCCTACCATCACTTGCCATTTTCATTTTTTGCCATCTCTTAGAGTGTTAGTACCTGAAGCCTGTGCATAAATAAAAAACATAACGAAGCAAGCAATTATAATGTGGCTGTCTGTTCTCAGCATGGTCTATGTAAAGTAGCAATTCATTCAATGTCAAAACGCTTTCACATGTACACAAGTAGATGCAGGTTTGTTAGAGTTTTTAAAATTCCCTTTTGTTCTGACCCTTTTTAGGTCAGATTGGAAATGCTGAAGCTTCTGGAAACTGGCATCATTCAGGCCTGTAAAGCTGGAACAGTTAAATTGGGGCTGTATTAAGAAATTTCATATCAGCAGCAATACTGATACAAGTTTTTCCTCCAGTTTGCTGATTCCCAAACAATGCAGATTACTGTATGTAGTATTTTATTTACTTACAATCCTTAGTGGAACATGTTTTAAACAGGCATTTGTTTTTTTTTTATGCTGTTCAATACCAAGGTATGTTTATGGAAGCAAAATAAACCAGTCCCCAAAAAAATTATCTGTTTGTTTATTTTGTCTAGTGATCTCTTGTACCACATGTTTCACGATTATTCAATAAAAAGACTGTGCTACATACACTGACATAACAAGACCATTAAGTCAGAATAACTGATCACTGTCTTTGGAAAGATTATCAGTTGTAGTATCAGTGTAGCAGTTATTGTATTTTCTAAGATTTTCTTGTGTATCGTTTGGTAAAAATATCATTCTTTTGATGTTTGGTGTTTTAGCCATTCAAGTGAGGGAGTGCTGTGTGCCTGAACTATATTACTAGAATTTACAAGCTAGTGAACAGCTCATTCATAGTTTCAGCGAATGCATTAAAGACATTCATTCAGAGTGCGATTATCTTATATCGTTAAACATTTGTGATGATGACCAAATATCTTGATCGCATTCTCTATGATCTTGCAGAATTATTTTTTTTTGTCTGCAGAATTTGTTTGCAGTTATTAAACCCTTGTGACAGGAATAGATTTTAGTTTTTACCAAATCGTTTTTTTTGTATCTTACTGTACAAATGAAATCTTTTTCTTTTATGAGAGAGAACAAAAGAGCCTATGTTTCTTTAAAACAAGGCTGTCCAAGAAAAAGAGGAAAGAGGAAGGACACAACTGTAGTTCTGGTTAATGAGTAACAGTCCCCTTTCCCAACACTTCTACATTGCTGCCGAAGCAGTATGAAAACATACTGCCAACTTTGTGACACACTATCTCAGTTAAGGTTTTGAAGCTCTTCAGTTTGCAGAGTTGCAAAGTTGCAGGTGTGGGGAATATGCCAAAAGAAAATGACAATATTGCAAGGCGCCCTGACAGCACAGCCTTTAAGCAGCAGAAGCTTCCTGCTTGGTCTCCCTCTCTTACTGCCGAGACTGTGCTGCCATTTTTCTTCCTGATCGGATTGCTGTGTGTTCTCACTGGGGCCTGGCTGCTTGTCACTGTTGCTGCAACCCACGAGATTAAGGTAAGAACCGGTCAACTTTGCCACATTTTAGCCTACATGCATCTCATATTAGATACAGACCTATCCAAATCACAGAGAATTATGGCTGCAATTCAAGCAAAAGGGGTTTCCACCAAGTACTAATTCAGGGGTGTGGATGTATACTTATCATTTTTCTAGGTTTTCAATTACCTTTTAGAATGTTTGAGGATTTTTGTTTTCACTGTGAGGTGTATTGAGATGTGTATTACAATGAGTAATTCAAAGTAAAATTCTAACTGAAAGTGTCTTGATTTCAGGCTGTTAGGCCACAAATGTGTTACTTCGGAAAGTGTGTGTACATTTCTATAGGCACTGTGCTACGCCATGTCACCTGTCTGGTAGGTGAGGGTGGGATTGGAGGCGTTACAGACCTGAGAGCAAGGGCATCACACTCCAGTGGTAGTGGGATACAGATATACAGAGACTGGTCGGTCTGCACCTGGAGCCAGGCAGGACAGGAACAATTTAGAAATTGTAGGCAAAGCACAAGAAGGGGAGACTTGAATTTGCTAAACTACATCTGAATGATAATTAAAAACATGTCTTATGGTCACATGAAATGAAATGAAAATTGAGCTTTTTGAAAATACTCATCAGTGTTTTGTTTGTGTTGAGAAAGCACTCATGTCCACTGTCAAATATCACATGGGGGTCTATTATGTTTTTGGGTAGTTTCACATCTCTAGGTCCTAGGTCTCAAGACTGGGGAAAGCATGAAATCCAACTCATATTAATATTTATATTAATAATAAATATTTATTGTAGAACAAATACAGATTGGGTCCACATAGGATTGCGTTTCTTACCACAACTGACGGAAATTAGAATTTAATTGGAATTGTAATGCAGTCACTTGTTATGTTGTGCTTTTAAAGTTCTGGCTAATGTAAGACTCACCCGTTTTATTCCAGATTGACTATACAAACACAGGTAACTGCTCTGATTGCTATGAACTACGTGAAAACAGATTGAATTCAACCAAAGACTGTCAATGCACTGTCACCTTCTCTCTCCCAGAGCAAATTGTTGTAAGTAATCAAATTATAGTCCTCTCAGCACAGAACCTAACACTGGAGTGACCATTCAAATACAGTAAATGTGTTTTTCTTTTTAAAATTGTTTAGTTGTTATATTCAGAAGAAACTACAGAAAGGCAAAGGTACAAATAAAAGCGGCTCTCATTGTAGAATTTGAGGATCTGTAGAATGAGGCCATGTCCGACAAGCATCTTACAAATTATGACAACCACTGAAGTAGGTTGCTTTGCAACCATCTGAGATTGTTATACAGCTGTATGGTCAATTCACTTTTCAGGGTGATGTGTATGTCTACTATGGGTTAATCAACTTCCATCAAAACCTCCGGCGATACATGGACTCAAGGGACGATGCACAGCTTGTAGGTCGTACATTCAACCTAAAAGTAAGTTCTTATCGTTATCTGACTAATTTATACCACCTACATATAGCTTTTCTCAATCTTCATGTCTTCCAAGTAAGTTTTCTTTCCGTACGGAGTGCCTTTAAGATGACAACAGATGCTTATGGTTCCTGTACTCATTTGTTTCCTAATTAATGCCTCTCAGTGTATGATTCAGACCTCAGCACAAGAATGCTTTTTTTTCTTAATTGACACTTATATTTGTTGTTTCAGATATACTGTAGAAAAAATATTTTCATAACCTACATCCACCTAGTCTTTCTCTTCCAAAACAGTCGCAGGAGATATACTGATGCACAAGAACTGACACATTCATTACATTTTCCAGACAAAGTAGGGAGGCAATAAATAGGCAAAACAGAATCATCAGTTATACAGTTACAAGTGTATAATTTAAATCAGGGAAGGTAAATTAAAATTGTATAATCTCCAAGACCTTTTTAACAGTAGAATAGTGTATACCGTGATACAAAAAAGATATCTGGAATCAGTACAGAGAAAAGCAATGAAATACTTAAAGGAATGTCCCACACCAATAACAAAAAAAAATACTAAAACAGATGTTGAACAGAAAAGATTACAAGGAGGCCTGAATCAAGTATTCAAAATCCTCAAAGAATTTGACATAAAGTATTCAACCCTATGGACATCTTCAGAATTATCAATGAAGCATAGGTTAAAACTATGGGAAAGTACATTTAAAACTGAGAACAGGAAGCACTTATTTACATAGGGCTTATGGGAGTAAGGAACAAGCTACCCAGCCGTGTTGTTGAAGCTGTTCAGCAAATTACTGGATGAGATCCTTGCATCGATCAATTTCCATCTACTACCAAACAGGCTAGATGAGCAAAACAGCTTCATCTCATTAGCAACCCTTCTTATTCTTAAAGCAAGCACGACAATCGGGTCTCTCATACAACTACAGTATATCAAACAAAATCAAAGCAAATGTGACCAAAATCATATTAAAGAATCATGATGAGTTTTCAGTGTATAATATGACATTGGATGAAAATTGCAGCGTGAATGCACAGACCTGATTACCATCTGGATAGGCTGCTGTGGAATGCTTCAGCCAGTTGGTGAAAATGGTCCTTTCACGGTTGTCTCCTATTTATGAAACTAGTGAGGTGGTACAGCAGATACTCTGCTGGACGCAGGTCAGGGGATAAAACTGGGCAGACAAACACATTAATATTCCTGATGCTGTGCCATTGCAGTCCAAGAACTGTGTGGCCTTGCATAGTCCTACCAGGAGATCAAACACTTTCAGATTGGCTTGCAGAAATCAAAGATTTTTTTTTAACTGAGTAGTACAGTTGTCCTAAAGTCATTCTCGTGTTAAAGGATATTTCTCTCACATCAACTCACATCAAATGGATTGTCTTGAACAATATGACAGTTTTTTTTGGTCAGGTCACAAGATACAATGCCAGTCATTGGTGAATAAAGCACAGGAGCACTCACTGTTGTCTCTCAAGCCCACAGAAAAGGGTTATTTAATCTCTGACCTCTCAATGTTATGCCCACAAGCATATAGATCATTTTCCTGTGGAAAATTAATATTACAATTAATACAATGGATAAAGTTAATTTTTATGCAGATGCTGGGCTATGGTCTTTCTTTTGATGTGAGGGTCAATTCTTCCTGGAATGTCTTGTGCTGAAATTCAAAGCAGTCCGAAAACAATTACACAGATGGATCAGAATGTTGTACTGGGACCATCTATCTTCAAGGACTTACTCTCCCCTTAAAGAGCTGTGCTCCTGGTTTCTTTGGACTAGCCTGCTGATTTTGAAATCTGAACAACTCATCCTCTGGACAACTTCTCTCACAAACAGCTCATCTTCATTGCTTATAGCTACCAGAAGATGATAAGTACTCCAGCATTGCATTCTGCTGTTGTGTTGATTAAAATAATGTTTTTTAATGACCATTTATACCAATTTATGTATTTTTAACTCAATTCTCCATGTTAATATCCCATGGGACAATACCACTGAAACAATTCACAACCCTATCTGTTTATTACACATACTACTTATAACATTATAACATAAATGTTTGTTGATATAGTGATGAAAAACAATTTGTTGCTCTTTGATTGTTCATTAAAATACAATATATTTTCATCTTGTTTAAAAGTAGTGGAATCCAAGCTGCCTTGTGTAACTATTTCTTATTATTCTGAGTGTGATCTTT